TCCCTTCGGCTGGTTGCTCTTCTGTCCGGGTTCAAGGCTTTTATCCCCTTTCTCCTGCTCTTCCGGCCTGCTACTCTGGCGTCCCTGCGTTGTCTCTCCTCACCTATAACCCTGGGGCTGTAAGAAACTGTAAGAGATCTACATTAATGCAAGAACACACCATGTTCTCAGGAAGAGTGAACATTGTGAAAATGTCAATACCACCCAATGCAATCCCCATCCAGACTCCATCAGCATTCTCTAAAGACATGGAAAAAACAGTCACTAATTATATACAGAAAGGAAAGAGACCTCAGGCAAGCAAAGCACTACTGAAGAAGAACAAATTAGGAGGTCTCACACTTCTAGAGCTCAAAATCTACTGTACAGCCACAGTAGTCAAAACAGCCTGGGATTGGTACAATGACAGATACACAGACCAGTGGAACAGAATTGAGAACCCAGAAACAGATCCATCCACCTATGGTCAGCTGATCTTTGACAAAGGGCAAAAATCTATTCAATGGGAAAGAACTAGTCTCTTTAACAGATAGTGCTGGCAAAACTGGATATCCAGTTGCAGAAAAATGAAAGGAGATCCACACCTCACACCATACACAAAAACTAACTCCAGATGGACCAAAGACTTAAACATGAAACCTAAAACTATAAAGTTCATCAAAGAAAAATTAGGGACAAACTTAGGGACCCTAATTTATAGAATAAATAGACTGTCAAACATAACCCAAAATGCACAAACAACAGAAGATAAACTAGATGATTGGGATCTTCTAAGAATTAAATTTTTATGTGCTTCAAAAGACTTCTCCAAGAGTATAAAAAGAACCTACACATCAGGAAAAAATATTTAGCAATGACATATCTGCCAATGGACTTACTTCTGAAATTTATAGAAAAATCCAACATTTCAACACTAAAAAGACAAAAAATCTAATCAAAAAATGGGCAGATGACATGAACAGACACTTTATCAAAGAAGCCACTTCACCAAATATATGAAGAAATGTTCATGATCATTAGCCATTAGAAAGATGCAAATCAAAACGAGATACCATCTTGCCCTAGCACTCATAGCAAAATTCAAAACACAGAATGTAACAAATGCTGGCAAGGATGTGGAGAGATTGGGACTCTATACACTGCTGATGGGAGTGTAAAATGATACAACCACTATGGAAAGCAGTACGGCAAATCCTTAAAACGTTGGAAATAGAAATAACATTTGATCTAGCAATCCCATTACTAGGTATATATCCTAAAGAAGTGAGAGCCAGGACACAAACAGATATATGCACACTCATGTACACTGCAGCACTATTCATAATAGTAAAGAAAGATAAACAACCTAAGTGCCAATCAACGGAGGAAGAGATAACAAAACTATGGTACACACACACAGTGGAATACTGTGCAACACTAAATAATAATGTAGAATCCAAAAAACACTGCATAATGTGGATGAACTTGGGGGACATTATGCTGAGTGAAGTAAATTAATCACAGAAGGGCAAATATTGTATTAATACACTATTGTAAAAAGTTAAGGAAAGGTTTCTATATGGAAGGAAACTTTGTTGGTTACCAGGGATAGGAGAGGAAGGGAGGGAAAACAGATAGGTAAGAGACAAGCATTGATTTGGGTGAACAGGAAGGTAATATACCAAAAGTGAGTGACCAATACAATAACACTGAGGAAAAGGAAGATACAGAGAGGTGCACAAGAGGTATAGACAACAAAGATAAATACTTTTATACATACAATACTGCATTATCAGTAATAATAAACATTAATCTACAGGTAGATACATAGGTAGACAAGCTGAATGATCAGGTATGTCTACGCAAAAGGGAATATACCCAAAACCATATATAATGTTGGCAGATGATATTTCTACATATATATTTGTATGTGCTGTAAGAATGTCCATACAAATAGAACTAACAGGGGGCAAAGTTATGATAACTTCTTAGCTACAGCCATCCACCCTGAGGGAGCAAGTTGTTGGACCTGTGGGCTTGAGACCATGGTCACAGGAGACATCAAGCCCAATTGGCGTAACATATTACACAAAAACACCGTTGTGCATCCTACTTTGGTGAGTAGTGACTGGAGTCTTAAAAGTTTGCAAGTGACCATCTAGGCACAACAATGGGTCTCTTCTCATCTAGAGCAAAGAATGAAGAAAACCAAAGACACAGGGAAACAATCAGTCCAAGGGATTAGTGGACCATGTGAATCTCAGCCTATATGACCATGAGACCAAATTAACTAGATGGTGTCTGGCTACCACCATCAACTGTTCAGAAAGGGATCAGAACAGGAGATCCTGGATAGAGTGGGAGAAAAATGTGGAACAAAACTCAAAAGACCAGGCTGATTGGTCTGATAAAGCCTGGTGAAACCCCTGAGACTATAGCCCCTAGTTACCCTTCAGTCTTGGAACTCACTCCCGTGGCTTTCAGCCAAACAACAGACAGGCATATAGAGTGAATATTTACACCAGGTAGATACACTCCTTAGAACTATCAATCATGGGAAATTAGAAGGGCAGTATTTGCACAGGGACACAGCTCAGAGGGCAGGAATGCATAGGAAAGAAGGGCACAGGGAAGGGCTAACTACAGGAAGGAAGTGGGAAGAGAGCTGTTACATTGTGAGGATTGCAGTCAATGTCACACAAAAAAATGTGTATGAACTGCTGTATGGAAAATGAATTTGCTTTGTAAACTTTTGCCCAAATTACAATAAAAATTTTTAAAAAAAAAGTCAAGAAAAAAAACCCACCTCACTGCTGTGGAGTCAATTCTGACTCAGCAACCCTGTTGCACAGAGCAGAACTGACCTATAGGGTATCCAGTTTTGCCAGCACCATTTATGAAAGAGACTATCTCTTTCCCATTGAATAGATTTTGGCCCTTTGTCAAAGATCAGCTGACCACAGGTGGATGGATCTGTTTCTGGGTTCTCAATTCTGTTCCACTGGTTTGTGTATCTGCCATTGTATGAACCTGAGGCTGTTTTGACTACTGTGGCTGTACAGTAGGTTTGAGATCTAGAAGTGTGAGACCTCCTACTTTGTTCTTCTTCAGTAGTGCTTTGCTTGCCTGAGGTCTCTTTCCTTTCTGTATATAATTAGTGACTGTTTTTTCCATGTCCTTAGAGAATGCTGATGGAGTCTGGATGGGGATTGCATTGGGTGGTACTGACATTTTCACAATGTTCACTCTTCCTGAGAACATGGTGTGTTCTTACATTAATGTAGATCTCTTACAGTTTCTTGAAGTAGTGTTTTGGAGTTATCTTTGTATAGGTCTTTTGTGTCCCTGGTAAGATTTATTCCCAAGTATTTTATTATTTTGGTAACTATTGTAAATGGTATTGATTTCCTTATTTCCTTTTCAGAGATCTCTTTGCTGGTGTAGAGGAATCCAACTGATTTTTTAATGTTGATCTTGTATCCTGCCACTATGCTGAACCTTTCAATTAGTTCCAGTAGTTTTTTTGCTGCGTCTCTTGGGTTTTCTATGTATAGGATTATTTCCTCTGCAAATAGGGATTGTTTTACTTCCTCCTTACCAATATGGATGCCTTTTATTTCCCTTTTTTGCCTTGTTGCTCTGGCAAGACTTCTAATACAATGTTGAATAGAAGTGATAGAGGGTATACTTGTTTGGTTTCTGTTTGCAAGGGGAATGGTTTCAGTCTCTCTCCATTGAAAGTAATGTTGGTTTTGTATATATGCCCTTTATTATGTGGGGAATTTCCCTTCTATTCCTGTTTTTCTGTTTTTTTTCTTTCAAATCAGGAATGGGTGTTGGATTCCCCTTGATTTTCCAATTCACCTCTTGGTGTCATAGTTGACTTCCCCAGGAGTAAACATTCATTCATCATTGAGTGCCTGCAGGTTCCCTCCATCCCTTTTCTCAGCCCTGTCACTGACTAGCAGTATGATTTTGAACTTTGGTTCCTCCTTGTTATCCTTAGGGATAACAGTGCATTTCTCAATGTTTTCTGGTCAGCTTTAAATGACCTACAGTCAAAAAAAAAGAAAAAAACAAAGGCCATAAAATTTATGGAAGCAGATTGCTACATTTTTCTTTCCCATGGAGCAGCTGGTAGGTTCAAACTGCTGACCTTTTAGTTAACAGATAAGCACTTAACCAGTGCTCCTTAGATAAACAAAATCAGGACTGAGACTGTAAAGGTAGGAATAGTAAATAACAACCACAATAATAATAACAACAGCTCCCTTCCTTGAGCACATACTATGTGCTAATCAATCAGTTTATATGCATTGTCTCATTAATCTCCATACATGTCATTATCCTCAACTTACAGGACAAAACTGAGGCCCAGAGTGTTAGGCGACACATATCTTACATCACACAGCTGAAAGTAACAGAGCTGGGGCCCATATCATAGTGCCTGGAGGGTCAGTCCACTGGTTCTTAAAGGAGCAGGTGCCTGGGCTAGCCCTGCTTAGCCTCACTGAACAACTTACATTGGCACTGAGGGGACAAGGAACCAGAATCAAAGTGTGGAGGTCAGTGTGAAGGCAGAAGATGGCTCAGAACCAGTGCTTTATGGAAGAGGTGGATGGCTAGACACTGTGGTCAGAGACAGGAAGTGCACAGTTCAAGGCTAGAAAGGAAGGGAGGTGTAGCTGTATGGCTTTGGCTGAGATCAACAAAAAACGGTCATTTTTCTCAGCATTTCTAAAACTGGGTACTATGGGCCACCAGCCACTCCTCAGAAGGAAGGTTGGGCAATCTACTTCTGTAGTGATACTGCCTCAGAAACCCAAGGAGGGGTCATGTCCAACTCAATAGCACATAACAACAACAACAATGGGACACTTATAATGAAAGATACACTAGGAAAACAAAGTTCCACAGTCAAATTAGTTTGGGAAACACTGCATATTTTTTTTTCTTCCCTGATGAATTGACAATGCTCATTACCATATTAAAGGCTCTGATTCATCCTGTAGTAAAGAAATCTGCTAGATTTTGCTTAACCCAGTTTTCTCAAATTTCTTAGATATAAAATCCTATTAATACAACAAACCTATAGAGATCCCAAGGAAGTGGTATTTCTATAGAAACATGCTTTGGAGACTGTGACATCAGACCTTGGGGAAGGTTTGCTGTTTTGGTTTAGGAATGGTATTGACAGATCATCAAGAGTGGTGGTGGTGGTGGTGGTGGGATATTGGATGGACGGATGGATGGATGGACAGATAGATGGATAGATGGAATGGATGAATAAATGGGATGGGATGGGTTAGATGGAACAGATGAATAGATGAATACTGAACAAATGAATGGATGGAGGGTGCTGGATAATTGGATGGATTGGTTTGGATAGAGAGACAGATGGATACACAAACACAAGGACAAACAGACAACTGGATGTTGTTGTTGTTGTTAAGTGCCGTCGAGTCGTTTCTGACTCACAGCGACCCCATGCACAGCAGAACAAATCCCGCGCCAG